CGATTTTCTGCCGCAAACTAAAAAAAAGCAAAACGTCAAAAAAACGCCGCAGCACCTAACGTAGCGCACACCAGGTGGCGCCAACCTCCGCCTGCGTCTGCTCGCCTGCACGGCGGCCATTACCTTGAGCATTGCGAGCTGCTGGGCAGTGTCGTCTGTCGCCTCTCCCTCCTCCAGCCGCACCTCCACCGCGTTCAGCCAGTCGTGCAGCGCCGACACGCTCTCGTGGAAGTCCGTGCTTGCCACGAGGGCGCCATCGAGCAGCTGGTCTCGCTCGTCGAGCCGGCCCTGAACGTCGTCCCAGTGCTGGTTGATGGCGGCCATCTGGAAGCATCCCACGGGATCAGTAACCATGACTACGTCAATCCCAGCACAGCATCTCTCCCATTGGATCAGAAAAACCCAGACTACCAACATTGCGACGTGCAGGGGCAAAGCCACACGTTTAATTTGGAGTCTATAGCTGTGTGGAGTCTATAGCTATATAAGTGTGCATTGGTATGCCTACTACATGTAACATTTACTATGGCATACACACATATGTAATATGATCGAATATCACTCCTGCTGTCTTGCACACGCAAGCGTAGGACAAAGAAAAAACTGGATAGAGATCAGCCATTTTGTTGATCGCACGTTCTCACTACTACGATCACAACACTGGGCCGCACGCACCACCACCAGCATAACTCGTGGCTTAGACGGGACCACGTAGCAGACGGGTTACACGCGGCAACATGCGCTATAATTCGAAGGGCGGCAGTCTAACCTGGTCTGCGATGAGGAGGGCCTCGGGACTGCCGGCCTGCAGCTTGTCTAGCACTGTCTCTCCTGACTCGTTCAGCTGCTGCAGCTGTGCATCCCAGTCCTTGAAGTCATCCTGGAGAACCTATAGTAACGCAAAGCACGCGCATGTCAAGGCCCCTTCATCAGACACACCATTTACATTTTTCTTAACATTAAAGGATAGGTGTCCTTACTCTTTGGCAAAATCTTGGAAAAATCATAAAAAAACCTTTAAATTTTTGGGTTATTTTGACATTTAGAATGTAAGAAAAAGAAAATCTTGAACTTTTTTCATAGACCAGACATATACACTGGGTACAAGAAGATAAACGTAATCTACGTAAATCTTAGCCTCGTTTCTGTAAACGGTCTACGAGTGTGAACAAGTCCAGTGACACTTTGAGCATCTATTGTTGTATGTCACGCGTGTCAGGGGTCATGCGTCACACGTCATGCATCACAGGTCACTCGCGCACGTGTCACAGGTGCCACGCGCCACGTGTGTCACAGGTCACGCGTGACGTGTCATGGGTGCCACGCGCCGCGTGTGTCACAGGTCACTCGCAGCACACGATAGGAACGTTCATGGGTGGCCACGCGCCGCGTTTGTCCCACCGGTCACTCGCGTACACGCGAGTGCATTGGTGCCCACTGCGCCGGCGTGTGTCACAGGTCCACTCCAACGCACGGTGTCATGGGGCCACGCGCTCGGCGTGTTCACAGGTCACTCGCGCAACCGAAGTCATGGGCGCCAGCGCCGCCGGCCGTGTGTCACAGGGTCACTCGCGCACGTGTCCTGGCGCGCACGCGCCGGCGTGTGTCACAGGTCAACTCGGCGCACGGTGTCATGGAGCGCCACGCGCCGGCGTGTGTCACAGTTCATCGCCAGTGTCATGGGTGCACGCGCGCTGCGTGTGTCAGCCAGGTCACGCGTGACATGGTCACGCATAACTAGCGGGCACGTGTCTCTCGGGTTGTGAGGTCGCACGCACCTTGACTTGCTGCGTCTGGTTGTTGAGCATGCCGGGTTCGGTGGCGATCGGTCCGAGCACGCTCATCAGCTTGTCCTTCTGTGTCAGCCACGCCTGCAGCCCGTCATGGCGTCTGCTGGAACGCCTTCAGCGCCTCGAGAGATCGCACACGCTCCTCACACGGAGCACGCAGCTCCTGCCACTTCTCATCTGCAGGAAAACAATCGTCGTCAACGTGTGCGTCAATGCGCGGGGGTGCTCACACAAAAATACGTATAAAAATACGTATACGTATACGTATACAAATACGTATAAAAATTCGTATACGTATACAAATACGTATAAAAATACGTATACGTATACGTATACAAATACGTATACGTATACAAATACGTATAAAAATACGTAGACGTCTACAAATACGTATACAATGCAGGAAAACAATCGTCGTCAACGTGTACGTCAATGTGCAGGGGTGCTCACACAAAAATACGTATAAAAATACGTATACAATGCAGGAAAACAATTGTCGTCAACACGCAGGAATGCTCGCGGAGGGCCGTTAACGCAAAAGCACTCGTGCACGGATTTCGCCGATGCTTATCAACACCAATCACCCTAATTAACCTTCAGTACTTTTTACAAATTACAAATACAGGGAAGTAACCATGGTGACGACGACGCCGTCTGCTCACCGAGATTCTCCAGCTGCTGCCAGATTCCTTCGACGCCCGGCGACGAGGGTTTCCTCTCGGCAAGGTCCGCGACCTTGCCCTTCAACTCATCGACCTTGAGCTGCTGCTGCAGCACCTGATCGAAGAAGCTCTGCAGAGATGGAGACGGGAGATGAGACAGTGATGCGAGGACGAGGGGGGGTTTCAAGTTCGTCACTGATTCCCATGTGCTGCTAATATTGTGCTAGTGTATAGAGTGTCTACTCTATGCAGCATAACGTGAAGCAAAGCTAACCTTTGTCTTAGCTATTGTTAGCTTATACCCGAGTTATTGTTATATCTGAGCTAACTTTAGATAATTAAGTTAAGTCGCGAGGCGGATCCGGCGCGGCCGTCGGCGCGGGTCGCCGTGACGACCTACGACGCGCTCCTGCGAGAGCACGCCGCGTGGGAAGACGGAGCCGCCGAGCACGGCGCCCTCGCGCGCGATGCCTCCCGTCGCCGCGCACGACGAACGCTGCGCGGCGCAGGCGGCCGAGACCGGCGCGTCGGCGGCGAACACGCCGAGGACGCGCCCTCGAGTCGGACTCGCCTCAACAGCCGTTTATTCGCGCCGAGCTCGACGTGAGACGCGTCTCGGTGCGCGAGACGACCCGCAGTCTCGGCGGCGCCGGTCGTTAGTCCTCGCTCGAGCGCCTCGAGCGGCGATCTGGAGCCGCGAGCGGTCGAATCACCTCATCGCCGCACGGCTCGACAGCGGAAATGAGCGCGGACGCGAGACAGCTGTGCGACGTCAACCACAGATACGAGATGATCGGACGCCGCCTCGCCGACCGCCAGGCGGAAGCTGACTCGCAACGGCGCTCGAGCTGCACGCCACCTGGAGGAGCTGCAGGCGGTGCTGACGTGGATCGACGAGAAGAAGGCGGCACTGCCCTCTGGTGAGCTGCCGACTACTCGCGCGGACACAGCGGCGCAGCTGCAGCAGGACAAGGTGAGCGAGTGTATA